ACAACACGGCCACATTCTCCCTAGTAACTCAACCGGTACATGTTTAGTTTGAATATTCGAGTAGCTACACAGCACGGCCACATTCTCCCTAGTAACTCAACCGGTACATGTTTAGTTTGAATATTCGAGTAGCTACACAGCACGGCCACATTCTCACTAATAACTCAATCGGCACATGTTTAGTTTGAATATCCGAGTAGCTACACGACACAACCACATTCTCGCTAATAACTTAACCAGCACATGTTTAGTTTGAATATCCGAGTAGCTACACAACACGGCCAAATTCTCGCTAATAACTTAACCGGCACATGTTTAGTTTGAATATTCGAGTAGCTACACAACACGGCCACATTCTCACTAATAACTCAACCGGCACATGTTTAGTTTGAATATCCGAGTAGCTACACAACACGGCCAAATTCTCGCTAATAACTTAACCGGCACATGTTTAGTTTGAATATTCGAGTAGCTACACAACACGGCCACATTCTCACTAATAACTCAACCGGTACATGTTTAGTTTGAATATTCGAGTAGCTACACAACACGGCCACATTCTCACTAATAACTCAACCGGCACATGTTTAGTTTGAATATCCTAGTAGCTACACAACACGGCCACATTCTCACTAATAACTCAACCGGCACATGTTTAGTTTGAATATCCGAGTAGCTACACAACACGGCCACATTCTCACTAATAACTTAACCAGCACATATTTAGTTTGAATATCCTAGTAGCTACACAACACGGCCACATTCTCATTAATACCCCAACCGGCACATGCTTATTTAGCTCCAAATCAAATAATAAAACCAACTAGATATTAAACTAGCATAGTTACTTTCATATTTACACAAATATTTATATCATTTTGATAATACTTTTCAAGAAATTGAGACACTTGCAAATTTAACAAATTCTACTGTAAGAAGCCAGGCAAAAAGATACACGTAAGCCTAGCTGAAAAAACAACAACAACAACCCAGCTTTAACAACAATAGTGCCAAAATCTGGGTCTTACAGGCATTTCTTCAAGCCACTGTACGTGGCCATTTTCTTTACCATTTGTTACAGACATTTATACATAATAAACATTATTTAAAATAAATAAATAGATGAATAACATAAAGTCTTGAGGAGAATATAAAACAGTAATAGCCCACAAACACATAACACAATTTATTTTAGAAGTATTTCGTTTTCTACGATATGGCTTTAAACACAGAATAAGGTCATTAAAACCTTCATAAGATATTCTTTAGCATTCACATTGTCGAAATGTAAAAATTCCTCCAGAAAAACAAATGCAACAAGGAAGCTTCAATTTTTTCCAGATATTGTTGCTCAACTGAATTCAGAGCATTTTTTACTATAGTGTTAAGACTCAGAAGTGACGTATTGTTTTAGGTCGTAGTTTGATATTACGATATTTATATCAGACTCAGAGATATTGTTAAGTTGAAGAAAACATCTTGTATTTTTGCTGTTGTTGTCGTTTTTAACTGGGAATGAGTTAAAACTGAGTCGTACTCCTAGACATGGGATCTTGTTCCTGAGTAGAGTTCTCAATCTTGAAGTATCGTCTTCATCGTGTTTGTTTGATTAGAAGTGACTTACAATACAGAAGTACTGTTGTACTCCTAGAATTGTGAAGTTGTCACAAAGAAAACTTAAAGTCTTGAAGCCCCTTCTTCATTGTTACAACACAGAGCTATTGTTGTACTCCTAGCATTGTGTTGTTATAGTAGAGTATAGTTCTCGACCTCGAAATACAGCAGGAAGTTGAAACAATCAAATACTGTTAATTTTCCAGACTAGTTTGATGATTAAGTATTTTTGAACTCAATGGCATTGTTTAGTATAGAAGCGAACTTCCAGTTTTCGTGCTTTTTTTTTTTTACTGACAGGAATTTCAACGGCTACCACCAGGCTTAAGGCCCTGAAGTGTTGTTTTATATCTACATGTGCCATAACCTGAATTTTCTATTCGTCACAATCGTATTTTTGGTGCTACCAAACGATATAAAACAAAACTGCAATCATTCCGAAATAACACTTACACAGTTATGTTCCTCATTTCACGATCTTTTATTGAAAAATCTGACGTCTTTGTTATGCAATAGGCTATATATTTTCGGTATTTAGTGTTGTAAGTCCGTAACCTTACCTTACAGCTCAACTCCTGGGAGAAAATCCGTATAAAATACACAATTCTAAGTCTTCCTTGCGTTTGTTTCACCAGTTTGTTTTCGCAATGGAAGCCGGTGAATAGTGCAGCATTAAGCTTTGGTGTATTTCGTAACAAGAGCTGATGGACTAACTGTTACTGATATTGTTCAACTCTTTAGTCTATGCACTATAAAAGCGTCACCTATCTGTGAAAATACGATATTATCAGTGTTCCTTTAATGGTAGTGTTGATAACTCCCAAATGTTTTGGTAACGTTAAAAAATACACGTAAAATACTCAGGGTAACATTATAACTCTTTTGTCACATCTTAAAAGCTCTGTACTTCTTGACTCATGGTTAAACAGAGCCTGTACATTTATCCAAAGGAAGCGTATAATTTCCTGTATGGTGATATTGTTAACTTAGGTTAATGGAAGTTACTTCTCAAGAAGATCATAACATTTTCAGAGTACTTAGCAAAAAGTCCGAACAAACACTGTTGCTATGAGCAACCACGGATTGATCCTTTTATAGTTCCAAAAATATGCAACATTTAGAGTTTATTAGAGTTCTCAACACACGTGTAGATCTTACGTGTATGTTATAGTACAGTTTAAAAATGTTTGTGAAGACATCGTCCAACCAAAAGATTAAAACGTTAGAAAAATAAAGATCACAGATCAATATAACATTATTTCGCTCTGTGTTTATTAAAGAACAGGACAAGGGTGATTTTTTCCCATAAATATTTTGCAATTGGATAAGCAAATACATAATGCCTTGAAGTCGTTACTCTGACATTAAACAACACACTGTAGTAATAATAAATAATTACTGGGATGTCATGAACACTGATTTTCCAACTTTACTCAGTAAGGTCCTTCATACCTATATGAAACCAATCCACAGCCTTTCCTTACCCGGGTAATGAAGTCTTTGATTTGTCGTGTTTTTATACTCTACTTCTACATGATTTTGAGTAATCCGACCAAATATAACACTTTTAGTCAATCTAAAGTACGAAAAACATTCATCTTCACGTAGTTTTTTCACGCGGAAAACGAATAAATATATTTATTTATTGATCTGAAATCAATAACAGACTATACATTTAAGACAACAGGAATACTCAAGGATATCCTGACATGTCGTAATGAAATGAATGTAGGAAACAGAATGTGATGAAACCAGATGTTATAATGAGAAACCTTTTATACTTCAATCATTAGATTATCATGTTGTTCATTCATGGATGAGTTTATCATCTCTTCATCAATTCCTACAGAATGATATGAACACACTGTTTGTAACCCTTAGCTGGAGATGTTCTAAAGATGACATTAAAGCAATTGAAACAGCGCTTTATCAGTTTTCATGAGCCGTTGTCACTTAATGAAAAATGAATCGATACCTCCTATCGACAAAGCTTAGATGGTCTACGATGCTGTTATCTTTCCTGGTTGGATCAGAATCAAACTCTGACATACGACATGCGGCGTAGCTTGATAACATAATGAATCAGACGATCTCATATTTCAAGTGCCAGTCGCGAATCACTAAATTTACTAGAAGGCGACTTACAACAACGTGAAACAACAATAATAATAACACTGGATGGAAAACATATACGTCACAATGTGTAAAATGGAACACTGATGTATCGTATTACCTATGGGTTGTAGTTTTCTGATAAACTACTAGTCTGAAAATCGCATCTCGAGGATACCTTAGTACTTCACTAGGTTATGGACCTAATATTCATGGCTCTCGGCTGGACTATCTCTCCAGATGGACTGCAGGCTGCTGAAGTAGTAAATGATGTAAAGGTATAAGTAGATCCGGTGCGAATGGTCCCATTTCTTGAAACAGAGCTCTTCATCGTCATCTTGAGGCGTTGACTGCGTTTTCTTAGTAAGCAAAGACAGCGCCCTCTGCAGGAGCGCTCCAACGATCTGATCATTCGGCGACGGAATTTGGTGGACATGAAGCAATAAACAATAGGGTTCAGACAGCTGTGAACAACAGGTAGCAGAAAGAAAACAACACGAGCTGTATAAATCCAGTGGTTGAAGTTTTCCACGCCGTAAGTAATGCAGATCTCTAGGGCTAAACGTGGGCCCCAACAAACCAAGAACAGAAATACCACGAGAATCAGCATCTTGATAACCTAGTTGTAAGATAATAGAAAAATCAGAAGTTAATAAATCACTGAACGATAAAAATAAGATATAATACGTAAATTGATAAATATAATTTTTGTTTGTTTCTTTATTGTTAAGCACAAAGCTACAAAATGGGCTATCTGTATTGTGCCCACCACAGATATCGAAGCTCGGTTTTTAGCGTTAGAAGCCTTCAGACTTACCACTGAGCCTTTGGGGACAATATATAGATTAGTTAAAAAGAAGTTTGCTAAGCAGACATGAGTGAGTACGGGTATGTTGGAAACTTAGTAAACTGACAGGAAACTGCCTGGTAAAGAAGAAAATTTGTAAGTTAAAATTGGATAGGTTCACTGAGAGAGCGAATGAAATATCATAAGGAAGAAAGTTGATGGATAACTTTATGGACAGCGATGTTTACTTACTAAAGAAGATCAAAATTCAGGTTAATCGATACGAGGGAAAAACGACACATAAGAAATTATAGTGGTGAGCTGGTGGGTAGGGAGTAGGTTTAGTGGGTAATATGATAGATAAAGATTTTTAAGTAAAAATGTTCACTGTTAATCTTATTAAACTCTAGGACGTTTGGTAAGTTAGAAGGTTGACCTTTACGCTGATAAAAGTGTGGGACGTTGGTAAGTTAGAAGGTTGACCTTTAAGCTAATAAAAATGTGAGACGTTGGTAAGTTAGAAGTTTGACCTTTAAGCTAATAAAAGTGTGGGACGTTTGGTAAGTTAGAAGGTTAACCTTTACGCTGATAAAAGTGTGGGACGTTGGTAAGTTAGAAGGTTGACCTTTAAGCTGATAAAAACGTGGGACGTTTGGTAAGTTGAAAGGTTGACCTTTAAGCTGATGAAAGCGTGGGACGATCATACAAAACTTAAACAATCAAAAGGACAGTTATTAAGTAGTAATATCTCCAGATTAAATCAGTGAAGTTTAAAAATATTCCATAACAATGCTGGTTATTTGTCCTTTGTTTGAAACTTCAGCAATGGGCCAGTATTAAGTGATTTTATTTAATTTTATTGTTAACTGATACCATTTTGAATGTATGCAAATAATTGTCTATTAACAGGGCATCATTTAAAACTGGTGTCCAATTTTACATGATATATATATTTGACAAGAATTTTATTCGAAGCAATCGAATTATATAGTCTAAATTTTTCACATGTATACATGATTCTTGAATTTACAGAATCTTTAACATGTAATTGTGAATTTTGTATAGTGGTATGAGGCTGTAAGAAAGGCGTTAATAAAATAGATAAAAGTAAATAAAATTACAATCACCATTAAAAGAGTTGCCACAAGCTTGCTGGGTCAGTCGGAGGACAGCAAACCAACAATTTTTGTAAGATGGTCTTGCATTGTATCTCTCCTCGAAACTTATTGCGTTTGTTTGTTGTAAAGCACAAACTACACAATGGGCTATTTGTGCTGTAGCCATAGGTTTGTTGCACAACCCTTTTTGTTGAGTTATATGACTTGTACAATGGTTGTTCATGATTTATGTTTTATTATTATTATTTTATTTTTATCGTACTGGCAGACTATTTTCTACTACAAAACATGAAAGGATTTATGGCAAGAATGTTACTCACAACTCTTCTTAACGTACAACGTAGTATTATTTGAAGAATAAACTATTTATTCAATTTCCACTTAATGTGAAATTCTTCTTCCAGGAAATGGTCCTTGTTGTGCCTTACAATTTCCACTTAATGTGACATTCTTCTTCCAGGAAATGGTCCTTGTTGTACCTTACTTCATAAAGTGTAGTTTCGGTGATACGCATTATCTACATGTGCTAGAGTTCAAATTAAACAAGCACAAGTGGCGAAATGAAGAAACCTTAGTTCACAATATAATCAAAAAAATATATAACAAGCTCCCATTCCTTGACGTGATAGTCACCAAGACTCGTGAATCATATACGACAGGTGTTTGCAGGAAGCCCATGTACACGGGTAAATACCTTGACTATATGTGAAAACCACCCAAGTAGTATTAAAACATGCTTCAAAAAACTGTCCAGTTTCAAAAACGAAAAAGATTTGTAGTACCAAAGAAGCTCCTTAACAATGGATACTCGGAACTCTTGGTAAAGAAGATAAACACCAATAATAAACAGGAAGAAAATTACAGGCAGTGGTCTCTTTCAAAATATAGAGAATATGTAAATAGTATAACGTCATAACAGTATTCAGTACGATACGGTATGATAGCAGTTAGTACACAACAACCATCTGAAGACCGAATGGAGAGAAAAACCATTCTTTTACAGCACCGCCTCAGAATGAAGATACCAATACACTAGATAAACAAAAAGGGCCAACAGAAGCTAGGATTCCAGAATATGATAGACACATAAGACTGTAATACTGACTTATCTGGATTATCTCATCATATCAGAGAAGAATAGAGTAAAATACATTGGAATACTGCTGAAGTAATATAAGTCACACATGAAAAATAAAGAAAAAGAAGCCTTCTACATCCTCCCAAATAATAATTCGTTCAGTCAACTTAGCATAGGGGTCAGCAAAACCTGGACACCCCTCTTGAAAACATTAAAATAATTGATTCAATATCTGACGAAAGAAACCCAAGTCGCATCGATTAGCATCATGAAGACCCAGGATCGAATCCCACGAATTACCAACTCAGGACTTCCCAAAAGGTTACAGCAGATTAGCAGTTGATAAGGAGGATAATAATTTATTATTGGTTAATATATAAGTATTTTAAAAAGTTACTTATTAATAGTTAGACTTAGATTATTGCACAGGTTACTTACTATCAATTACAACAACTTAGTATGTAGATCAGTTAGTTGGCAGTCGTGTTAATGAAATAAAAAATAACTAACCAAAGTTTTAATGTTGTTTCTCTTAAAACAGTAAAATCTGTACGAAAAATTAGCTATAAATATTCGTATTATAATTAGTATGTGAAGTACTATAGTTTAGTTTCTGGATTGATCTTTTGAAAAATGTTTTACAAGCATTCATAAGGAAAGGTTTCAAGTCTTTTTTATCTTTTCTCTTCAGATAGCATATGTAAGCACAACACATGATCACTTCCTTCCTGGCTACAAAACTTTAGAATCATTTACTATAATTGATCACATAGGCTTAAACCTTAAACTTCTAGACCTGTTTATATACCCAAGATATTTAGAATCTAAGGATTTTCAGATATTCAATGTGTTTAGAGTGTAAACAGGTTTAGAAGTTCAATTCTATTTTAAATCTAAACACGTTAGATATTCAAACTGTTTAGATTTGAAAGATGCTTAGATATTTAACATTGGTATATTTTAAACATGTTTATAATCCAACGTATTTAAATTTTAAACACATTTAGATATTCAAAGTGTTTAAATGTTAAACATGTTTAAGAATAAGACTTATGTAGATTGTAAATGTGCTGAGAAAAGTAGACAATATCTGTGTTTAGAATTATGTTTTTACAGTAATTAGCGTGTTATAGCATATATTATTAGGTAAGTAAGAAAATAGACAGCTAAGCCGACGAGAGTGTAGGATGTTTTGTAAGTATGAAAGCTTACACCTAAGCTGATCAGAATGTAAGATGTTTGTTAAGTAAGAAAGCTTACATTTAAGCTGATCAGAGTGTAAGATGTTTTGTAAGTAAGAAAGCTTACACCTAAGCTGATCAGAATGTAAGATGTTTGTTAAGTAAGAAAGTTTACACCTAATCTGATCAAAATGTAAGATGTTTTGTAAGTAAGAAAGTTTACATTCTGATCAGATTAGGTGTAATTACTTAACAAACATCTGAAAGTTTAAACCTAATCTGATCAGAGTGTAAGATGTTAGTTAAGTAACAAAGCTTACACCTAATCTGATCAGAATGTATAATGTTTTGTAAGTAAGAAAGTTCACATCTAATCTGATCAGAATGTAAGATGTTTTGTAAGTAAGAAAGTTTACACCTAATCTGATCAGAATGTATTATGTTTTGTAAGTAAGAAAGTTCACATCTAATCTGATCAGAGTGTAAGATGTTTTGTAAGTAAGAAAGTTTACACCTAATCTGATCAGAATGTAAGATGTTTGTTAAATAAGAAAGTTTACACCTCATCTGATCAGAGTGTAAGATGTTTTGTAAGTAAGAAAGTTTACACCTAATCTGATCAGAATGTAAGATGTTTGTTAAATAAGAAAGCTTACACCTCATCTGATCAGAGTGTAAGATGTTTTGTAAGTAAGAAAGTTTACACCTAATCTGATCAGAATGTAAGATGTTTGTTAAATAAGAAAGTTTACACCTCATCTGATCAGAGTGTAAGATGTTTTGTAAGTAAGAAAGTTTACACCTAATCTGATCAG